ACTAATTATAGATTTATAAAGCCTATATCTTAAAATTCTAAATCCTAAAAAATGTTTTGACACCTAAAACCCTCTAAACACTCAAAACTAAACTCTAATAGAACATAATTATCCCAAACATAAATAATATAAAAATTTTTTTTTTGAAAAAATGGCATTTTTGTAAAAATTTCAAAAGTGTGACATTTTTGTAAAGTGGCACTTGAAAAGTGGCATTTTTTGAAATTTCTCAATTAAATGTGGTAAAATAAAATATATTTATCTATATTGGAAATATATTTTTGTTATTTTTAATTTATCTCGTATATTAAAAAATGAAAAAAATTTTAAAAAATAGAGAAATTTCAAAAAATGCCACTTTTAAAAATATATTTATCTATATTGAAGATATATTTATCTATACAAAAATGTCATTATTTAAGAAAGTTTGCAAGCGAGTTTTATACTATTCCCAAAATAACCTTACTGGATATTCCCTAAATTTTCGATATGAATGATCAAATCTCTTCGCTGTCGAGATCTCCTCGTCGCTTATGGCGATTGGTAGACGACAGTTGTTCTCGATCGCCACTACGACCTGTGTGGTGTCTCATGAGGCAAGCCATCTTTCGAAGAGTTCGATTGCGGCGGATGTTGCTTTTGCTTCTGGCATAAGCGGAAGTAGTTGGATCTAGACTAGAGCTTCGGCGATTGAAGGTGTGTGATTTGCAAGCATGGTTACTTTGGTTGAGAAAACTATATTGATCGATTATCGAAATCGATTTATGAGTATATTTGTGTAATTGATTTGATTATCGCAGCCATGGGAGATGTTTAGCTGATCGGAGATTGAGTGTGGGTGGAGTAAAAATTGGGTTTTGCGGTGGTTTAGGTCAGATATTGAGGGTTGAAGGAGGAGAAAGTGTTGGAGTAAGCTTGTCTCCTATGCTTCAAAACAAAGAAGTATCAACTGAAGAAGAAAATTGAGAGTCTAGGGATTGATCAGTTACCTACATTAGAGAAGAAGAAGATGAGTTTAGTTAAGCACATGTGCAAGGCACGTGACACTTAGAAAAGGAAATCACGAACCATGGAAAAGGAAATAATTAATTAGCTTTTCTTTAAGAATTAGCAATTTAGCTTTTATTATGTTGTTAAGGTTTAACTATTTTTATTTATATGTGTGCCCATATGAGAGCAATGTTATCAGAATTAATAAACGAGTTATTGATATTCTCAAAAGCTTTTACGTTCTTTGTTCTTTATCACAATTCCAACAGAAAGTGTAAGGAGATGGCGAGAATTTTGAAGTGGTGGTCGGATAGCATGGAGAGAAACTAGCTCTTTAACGATGGCTGCTCTTAAATTAGGAGCTAATTTTTCAATTCATTATAAAATTTTGTTTAGATTGATTTAAATTGATAAATTTGTGATTAGATTGAGTGGCGAATCAGAGGGATAAGATGGTGTCGATGATGGACAAGAGAATGGAGTTGTGGTCGATGGAAAGCACAGAGGAGTTTGCGGCATTGGCACTGAGGTGTAGCGACGACTCACCGGAGATGAGGCGGGCGACGACGGATGTGGTGAAAGAGCTGGAGGTGGTAATCATCATCACCGTTACAAATCGATCTCCAATTACCAAAGTAGAGTTTATAGCATGCACTGCATTTTCTCTCTTTACTCATGCGAAAACTGGATTTTTGGAATGTTAATGAGATAAGGAAGGGATTTCTTTTTTTCTAATGCCTACGAGAGGAGGAAAATCGATTTGTTATTGTGCCTGTTGGTAAAAATA